TGTGAGGACGGGATGAAGAGGAGAGGACTCTCTGTGAGGTGTCATGGCCGCTGTAATGATAAGGTCAGAGAAGATTTTACTGGAAAATGTCACCATGTCTCTCTGGACCCCCCACCATGAGAATGACACAAATGACCTATGTCTCCATATAAGGAGTGGACAGGTAACCTCTAAAGTCGGGCTCACGCTGCACGATAATCGGGCTGATTTGAGGTCCGACTCCTTCCCGACATTTTGAAGGTGGACAAACTGGTGTCTGGTGCTTTTATTTTGAAGGTGGACAAACTGAAGTGTGGTGCTTTTATTTTTCAGGTGCACAAACTGGTGTCTGGTGCTTTTATTTTTCAGGTGCACAAACTGGTGTCTGGTGCTTTTATTTTGAAGGTGTACAAACTAAAGTGTGGTGCTTTTATTTTGAAGGTGGACAAACTGAAGTGTGGTGCTTTTATTTTGAAGGTGGACAAACTGAAGTGTGGCGCTTTTATTTTGAAGGTGGACAAACTGAAGCGTGGTGCTTTTATTTTGCAGGTGGACAAACTGAAGTGTGGTGCTTTTATTTTGAAGGTGCACAAACTGAAGTGTGGTGCTTTTATTTTGCAGGTGGACAAACTGGTGTCTGGTACTTTTATTTTGAAGGTGGACAAACTGAAGTGTGGTGCTTTTATTTTGCAGGTGGACAAACTGGTGTCTGGTACTTTTATTTTGAAGGTGGACAAACTGAAGTGTGGTGCTTTTATTTTGAAGGTGCACAAACTGGTGTCTGGTACTTTTATTTTGAAGGTGGACGAACTGAAGTGTGGTGCTTTTATTTTGAAGGTGGACAAACTGAAGTGTGGTGTTTTGTATTGACGAGCTGTTGACTGAAATCAAACACTCAGAGGGTCGTCAATAAACGGCTCGCTGTGAGCTGAATAAAGCTTTCCTTCGGTGTTGACACAGGTCAAAGGTCAACATGTCAATCATGATGTGGATATTATTAATGCACCGTTATCTCCACTTTGTACATAAAGCTAATGAGATCTGCTGAGTGAGGAGAGAGAGGGTCAGCGCCGTGTGGAGCCTATTATGAAGTCGATTATGTCGATGACGTCTGCTCGTGTCGCGTGCTGTTTGGACTCACTGTAAGACTGTAAAAACCTTCAAAATAAGAGCCTAACCATTTCAATTTTGAAATGCATAATAATGGAATTCAAACATAAATTAAAAGTTGAAATGTGTGAATGAAACTCTAACCTGACATTATATGTTACGTATTTAAACACGTTTGTTTGAGCCGTTCTTCTTCATGTGTTTCACATCGTAGCTTCTCAGTTGCTGTGCAGAAGCTGAAGGAGATGGTGGGTGGGAAGACACATTTTGCCTCACGGCGTGTGTGTGTAGGTGAGAGTGTGTGTGAGTGTGTGTGTAGGTGTGTATGTGTGTAACATACCTCTTGTTTTCTTCCTTGGCTGCAGCCTTGGAGCTCGACATCAGAGGATGTTGTTAGCTTCTTGTTCAGTCACATCACATGCTCGCTCCTGCAGCTGCGTTTTCTTCTTTATGACACTGAAAACAAAACAACTAAACTGTTTTAATATTTCTCTTCAAGTTCTCTTTTGTCCCAGCAGAAAAATACAAACACATTCAGACTGAGCACTTCCTGTTTTACTCAATCCCTTTGACTTCCTTCTCTGGGACAGTTAAGTAGTGAAGTGAAGTAGATCTCTTTTTTTCACTTCTTCATAAACTGCTGCCTGATTCAATCTATAAACCTGCTTCAGTTTAAAACTCTTTTTTTAGTTGAAATGTTTGAAACTCAGAGCTTCAGATAAAAATTGGAGAATGAAAAGTGGAAGCAGGACGTACTGTAGTGCGTTTTACTCATCAGTTTACGCTTCTACCTGGACGCCACTGCAGCACTCCTGAAGCACGTTTTGCTCCACAGCAGGCCGGCGCTGACGAGAGTCCAGAAATAACCTGAGAGCGCCGAGTACAGTATCAGACAAAAGAGAGGGAGAGGGAGCGTGGGAGTCGGGTCTTGTGGAAAGCCCCGCCATAAAAGATTGATGCAGAGAGGTTGGACTGAGTGTCACCGCAGGGGGGGGGGGGGGGGGGGGGGGGGGGGGGGTGCAGGAACAGCAGAGATTGAACGCTGGACGGATGGGGAAGCAGAGTGAGGGGAGGCAGAGTGAGGGGAGGCAGAGTGAGGGGCGGCAGAGTGAGGGGAGGCAGAGTGAGGGGAGGCAGAGTGAGGGGCGGCAGAGTGAGGGGAGGCAGAGTGAGGGGAGGCAGAGTGAGGGGAGGCAGAGTGAGGGGAGGCAGAGTGAGGGGCGGTAGAGTGAGGGCAGAGAGGGAGGTAATTCTCTTGCATGTCAGAACAAGTAGAGAAAGATGGAGACAGATAGACGGGAGGTGAGAGGCAGAAGTGAAAGGTGGGCTGCTGCATCACGCTGGACGTGTGGCGTGCGGCTGAGTGATGCTGTTAAAGGGAGAGACGAGATGTTCAGTTCTCAGAAACAAAGTGCTCAGATATGTTGTTCCCCTGTAGCTCAGCATGATGATTTCACCTTCTTACCTGCTGCTGGGAGACGCTGATGTTTCCTGACTGATTACAGAGACGCACTCTGACACTTTGATTAAAGCTTCCTGTCTCATTTATATCTGCAGGGTTCCTCTCTCAACCTGATTTAGTTTACATCACTTAATTCACCTTAGGCCGGTGCAGGGTTGTACTCAAGACCACATTAACCGAGACCAAGACATACCTGAGACCAGAGTGCTCCGAGAGACCGGGACAAGACCAAGACATTCAGGGATTAAGTCAAGACCAAGACATTTAGGGATCGAGACAAGACCAAGACATTTAGGGATCAAGTCAAGACCAAGACATTTAGGGATCCAGACCGAGACAAGACCAAGACATTTAGGGATCAAGTCAAGACCAAGACATTTAGGGATCAAGTCAAGACCAAGACATTCAGGGATCCAGACCGAGACAAGACCATGACATTTAGGGATCGAGACAAGACCAAGACATTTAGGGATCAAGTCAAGACCAAGACATTTAGGGGTCCAGACCGAGACAAGACCAAGACATTTAGGGATCAAGTCAAGACCAAGACATTTAGGGATCCAGACCGAGACAAGACCAAGACATTTAGGGATCCAGACCGACACAAGACCAAGACATTTAGGGATCCAGACCAACACAAGACCAAGACATTTAGGGATCGAGACAAGACCAAGACATTTAGGGATCCAGACCGAGACAAGACCAAGACATTTAGGGATCAAGTCAAGACCAAGACATTTAGGGATCAAGTCAAGACCAAGACATTTAGGGATCAAGTCAAGACCAAGACATTTAGGGATCCAGACCGAGACAAGACCAAGACATTTAGGGATCGAGACAGAGTCAAGACCAAGACATTTAGGGATCGAGGCCGAGTCAAGACCAAGACATTTAGGGATCCAGACCGAGACAAGACCAAGACATTTAGGGATCGAGACCAAGACCAAGACATTTAGGGATCCAGACCGAGACAAGACCAAGACATTTAGGGATCCAGACCAAGACCAAGACATTTAAGGATCCAGACCAAGCCAAGACCAAGACATTTAGGGATCCAGACCGAGTCAAGACCAAGACATTTAGGGATCCAGACCGAGTCAAGACCAAGACATTTAGGGATCCAGACCGAGCCAAGACCAAGACATTTAGGGATCCAGACCGAGTCAAGACCAAGACATTTAGGGATCCAGACCGAGTCAAGACCAAGACATTTAGGGCTCGAGACCGAGTCAGGACAGAGGAGGTGAGAGGAGCCGGTCAGTGGTGGTCTTCACAGGTCTTGATTTAAAATCAGAGACTGCTCAGTCTGAGATCGAGACAAAATGCTTTAGATTCTGAGACGAGACCGAGACCTTCAGAAAGACAGATTCTGAGTATTACAGCACTATGCCGGTGTGGTTGATCTCTGGTCTCTGAAGGTTTGAATGCAACAGGGCTGATGTGATGTTTTTAAACGAGTTGTTATGCAGCCATTCGGGGAAAATTACGTCTTTCTAATCTCCTAAAACGCGGTGCTAACGTCCATGAGCTTTTGGAGAGAGTTGGGGGTAACTACACCCTGAAGTCCGGATTATTTCAGTGTGAACACAATCGTACCGTACTCTGGTACCGCGCTTGAGTCCACTTGAAGAAGTAGCATGATTCATGTGTACTTGAGTACAGTTTGCAGGAGATGTGAACACAACCGTGCTGAAACCAGGAAGTGAGCAATGTAAGAAACCATCGTACCTGATGTGAAAACGTCCTCAGTTTCCGATATTCCTGCTTTACGAGATCCAACAATGAAACTATCTCAACTATCTCAATGAAACAAACATCATCGATGGTTACTCGCTGATGATTGGTCAGACTTTTTATAAATCTTAAAGACGGAATAATAACAATAAGACTCATTAGTGTTTTCCTGAAATACGCCCGTATGCTGACGACTCTGTTGTATTCATGTCAGAATCTTCTCTAACTTTTGAAAATGAACAGGTTAAAAAAAGTTGTTCCTCTGTCTTCATCGGTTTCATTGGTCCCTGATTGGTGGCAGAATAAAGTCACAATAGCGACTAGTTATTATTTATTTTTTTTTAAAGTGTAATGTCGCTGTAATACTTGATCTGTATTGATACGAGCGTCTCCTCCTCTCACAGTTTGTGGTCTCTCTTCTCTCCTCCAGGATTTCTCGAGCTGCCTCCGTGCTGCTCTCTGACCCCTGCTTCCAGCTCCACTCCATCCAGCACCTGTTGGGAGAGGGCGGAGACTCCTCCAGCTCTTCAGCCGTGGTCACCTCCACCGCCCGCCCGGTCATCGGGTCGTTCGGGGCGACCGTGGCGTCTCCCATCCCGTCAGCAGCTGGCGCCACGGCCTCCGCGGAACGCAAACACTTCTCCCTGCACGCGTGTGAGTGAAACCCTGTTTTACGTCTGATACACGTCCTCGAGTGATGTCATCTGAGTCAGGGCTGGAGACTAAAAGTATAATGTAGAAAACAATTCTGTTGTCATGGTTACAGAGAAGGGGGGTCATCGGCCTGCTGTTGTTTCCTGCTATTCTCTGCAGCAGGCTGCAAGCCGATAGCTAAACACGCCCCTCCTGACCGCCACTCGGGGGAGAGTCGGGTTGGCAATCTTAAAACCCAGCGGCTGTTGTTGGCGTCCATTTTGTTGTTACCTGGATTAGCGAGTAGCGATATCAAAGCAAAGACTTCAGTTTCTCCTCCAACCTCCTCGTATTTATTCTGCAGAAAGTCAGAGTGAGCTGATGTGAGAACACAGCAGGATAGAAAGGTGGAGGTAACCATGAAGACGTTCATCATCATCATCTGAGGTGTGAAACCTGCGTTTAATCGCTGGAAATATTGAGGTGTGTGTGTGTGTGTGTGTGTGTGTGTGTGTGTGTGTGTGTGTGTGTGTGTGTCTGTGTGTGTGTGTGTGTGTGTGTGTGTGTGTGTGTGTGTGTGTGTGTGTGTGTGTGTGTGTGTGTGTGTGTGTGTGTGTGTGTGTGTGTGTGTGTGTGTGTGTGTGTGTGTGTGTGTGTGTGTGTGTGTGTGTGTCTGTGTGTGAGTGTGTGAGTGTGTGTGTGTGTGTGTGTGTGTGTGTGTGTGTGTGTGTGTGTGAATAATGTCTTCCTGTCACCGCTGCTCTTTTGAAACATGCAGCCTCAGGAAACAGCAGCTAAAAGGCGAGCTGTCCTGGAGCTGTCACCGTGGGGGATGGCCAGGTCACCACCGCCATCGTCCTCTGTTACCGTGGAAACAAAAGCCGTTTCCATGACCACCTTGGCTCGCATCATGTGAAAGGATCTGCTCCGCCTGTCGAGGTCACGATGGAGTGTTTTCTCACGCTGTAATGTTCACAACACTTTATATATTTAAACACACGAGAGACGACGTCTGGACGACTTCAGCGCGTTCTGAGCCCGTTTAGTGTGATCTGTGTTTCCTCCAGGTGTTTCTGGGTAAATGTTCAGGCCTCCACAGGATCCTTAAGGGTCTTCTTTCTGCCCCTGTAACAGGACCCAGACTCTCTGCTGCTGCTGGTTTCATTTGGCTCCCGGCTGCTGAACAAAGCGCTCACATGAACATGAGTGACACGTGTTTGTGACATGAGTGTGTTTCTGTGAAGACAGTGGGAGTCAGGAATCCTTTCTCTCTTCCCTCTTTTCAGGGATTTGTTGGTGTTTGTGTGAGCGCTTGAGTCCCTGCAGCCTTGAATGTTTAATGGATGAGATGCTGAAGCTTGGAGAGCTGAAGAGGGAGAGAGACGGAGAAGAGGGAGAGACATGTTCTCTCTTTGACAAACATCACTTTTCTCCCTCAGTCAGATTTTTACCCAAATCAAAACCTTCCTATCAGGAAAGCTGTTTCACATGTTGTGTATTCAGAGACTGTCTCGTCTTCAGGCAGAAGAGTCCAGCTGATGTGTTGTTTGGTGAACGTTTAGGCTTCGTGTACTGAGGAGTGTGTGACAAATATCCTTTGAGATCACATTCACTGCTCACGATAACACACTCGGCAAACTTTGGTCGAGTCGTTCAGCAAGAAGGGCGACGGATGGCGAGAAGCTTGAACTACTTTGGACCTGAGATTCTCCCTCTAGTGTTTTTATTAAAATCATAAACAACACACAGCTGAAGAAGCAGCTGGAGCAACTTAGGGTTAACATGAGACATGTGGCTGCAGGAGCTGGGGATCAAACCTCCGACCTTCTGGTTGAGAGACGACCACTCTGCCACTGAGCCACAGCCGCCACTCGCTAACAAGAGCGAGTGAGAACAACTCAAGACTTTTACACATTTTTGAAGGTTGCTAAATATCGTCAATTATCCTCAAAAATATCAAGATATTATTTTTTGTGTAAATCTCACAGTCAGACTTTCTTTTTTATCTTCTACTTTGAAGCTTCAGAAGGAACGCTCTTTTATCTTCGTGATATTTATTCTTTAAGCTCAGAACTCAAGAAAAACAACAGCAGAGCTTCACCAGACTCAAATGAAGCCAAAGACACTGGACAAACTGAGTCGACCTCGTCCTCGCTCTGACCCACAGGAGAGAGTGAGTAGGAGTCTGGTGTTAATGAATGGGACGTGTGTGGCGTGGGAACACGGACGACTTTTGTACACAAACAGAAACACTCGCTCACTCTTAGAGGCTGAAGACAACACGAAGACAACACACTGCTCTGTTGGTTCCCGTCTCTCTGCAGGAGTCGAGATGGAGCCATGAGCGCGCCTGCACTCACTCGTTCTCTTGCACACGCAGAAATGTTTTGAATGAAAGAAAAAATAAATAAAAACCGGTCGGAAATCTACTCGGGCGGCCTGCCCGAGTATCGTCTATGTGTGGGAAACACTGGCTCTCCACAGCTGACTGCAGTGATTCTCTCACTGAGTCACATTTAAAGAAGTCTGGATGTGAAACCAAAACTACAAGGCTGCAGTGGAAAGAGTCCAGCAGCGCCCCCTGCTGGAGGATCCACAGCTGCCCTCAGGAGCTCTGATAGACCAGGCCAAACACCTGGGTAACCTGAGCTTCAACATCTGGAACAAGATGAAGGACATGGTCTCCTACAGTCCGGTCATTCTGGACCCAAACACAGCTGGTACTAGACTCACTCTGTCTGAAGATCTGACCTGTGTGAGAGGAGCAGAGGAGCAGCAGCTTCCTGATAATCCAGAGAGGATTGAAGATTCCTGGTCTGTCCTGGGCTCTGAGGGCTTTAACGCACCCTCAGACACACTTTCACTGAGAGGATGTTTCCATTCATTAATAGTGATGATAAACTGAGGATCTCAGCCCTGAAGGAGCAGCAGAGCAGTTAATATCTTCAAATATCTATCAAGTATTTAACCTTTGTTGCTCAGAGACGGGAAGGGTCAACATGTGGATCATTGTTGGGCGAGAACCTGAAGTGAATGTTTAGGTCATCACTTTTTTTCAATGAGGATAGATCAGGAGAATCTGACATGATTTCATCTGCAGCTGTCAACCCGGATCACTGCTTATTCAAACGCCATCTTTAGTTCTGATTTGATTGAGAGCCCCCTGGTGGCCGCACGTACGTCCTGTGTGTTTAAACACAAAGCAGAAGACTTCTCATCCCTCAGCGGCAGATTGTGTTGATGTGTGATTGAAGAAGAAAGTTAACATTTATCTCTTGAATTCTTTACTTGGTCACCAGACGGTGGAGGTTAAAGGAGAGCGTTAAAGTTTTTATTCCCAAAGCTTTACATTTTAGAAGATCTCTAAAGACTCTAGCGCCAAGGGTTCGAGGCTGAGCTCATCGTTTTGGCTCATGGATCTCTCATTTCTGAGGCTCAGAAACAAACGAGACTTTTCCCATTACTCAGACATCATGGTCCTTTATATTTGAAATGTTTGACTCAAATAAATGTTGTTGCTGTTGATCACGAGTCTCTAACTTTGCTTAAATGTTTCTTAGCGCTCATGATGGATTCACGTTGGGTCTTTATAAATCTTATAACAAAGAGTACGTTGCTCATGCCTCCAGATAAAATGTGGTACAAATCAGCGCTACACAGGTAAAGATTGATTGATTCAGCACGCAGTGTTTAACCTACATTGACCACATTTGGGAAGCGCAAGTTTCAAGTCAAGACAAATAAAGAAGTCCTCATCAAACAAACTCTAAACCAAACATGAAGTTCACTATTTCCATTTAAGCTTGAAGTTAAGATATATTTCTGACGGCCTCCAGTGGTCACACTTGGACAAACTCCTCCTAAGGGTTTTATTCCATCACATTTCTTTTGGTCTGAAGGTTGTTTAAAGCGGTCTGAACTCTCAGTTTCTGACACTCCTGTAAGAATGTTTCTATAAATCCAGATACAGTACTAACCCTAACCTCCTTTAAACCTCGTTTTATACATCTAGACCTCGTCTCTCTCTCTCTCTCTCTGTTTTAGCGTCCCTCCTTCCATTTCCCTCCAAATGTCCCGTGTAGTGATTGTAATCTTTCTCTGCACACCAACATGGCAGCTGTCCAGCAAGCCAATATCCCCGCCCAGAGCGAGCAGCGAGCACTCCTGCACTGAAACAGGATCCGTCTGATTGCAGGAGGGGGCGGGGGGAGGGAGAAAATGGAAAGACCAATCGAAAGCCATCAAGTGAGAGGGTGAATGTTAAAGAGAGGAAGAGAACGAGGGGGAGAGAAAGTTTAATGAAAGCAGCGGGGAAGAAGAATGTTTCTGACTTGCTGCTATTTTCAGCACTCAGTTAATTAGCAAACGAGGTTCATGAGTGATGAAGACATTAGAGGAGAGTGATGGTAAATACGTCCTTACCAGTTTACCCTCTTCTCGGTTCATCACGGCCGTGAGTCGGCCCCCGGACTGAGAGCTTTAAGAAGTGTCCGAAGAGAAACACGACTGTAGACTGTAAAAAGACAAACTAAATGACAAACAGATTCACACTTTCATCGGTTCAGCCGGTCGTCATGACTACGGTCAACTCGGCGTTGGTTTGGTGGGTGGGGCTGGTGGGGGTAGCAGAGAGACTCACTCCCATGATTCCCTGCCAGCCTTGATGTCATCTTTTGTTATTGTTTTGATTGAGCGCCCCCTGGTGGAGGAGTTTACAAACTGTGCCTTTAACAAACTCTCAGACAGCTCAGCTGACGAGTCCAAAGTCATGTCCACCTTATGACATCACACGTTGACCTTATGACATCACACATTGACCTTATGACATCACACATTGACATTATGACATCACACATTGACATTATGACATCACACATTGACATTTTGACATCACACACTGACCTTATGACATCACACATTGACCTTATGACATCACACATTGACCTTATGACATCACACACTGACCTTATGACATCACACACTGACCTTATGACATCACTCATTGACCTTATGACATCACACGTTGACATTATGACATCACACGTTGACATTATGACATCACACATTGACCTTATGACATCACACATTGACATTATGACATCACACATTGACATTTTGACATCACACACTGACCTTATGACATCACACATTGACCTTATGACATCACACATTGACCTTATGACATCACACACTGACCTTATGACATCACACACTGACCTTATGACATCACTCATTGACCTTATGACATCACACGTTGACATTATGACATCACACGTTGACATTATGACATTACACGTTGACCTTATGACATCACACGTTGACCTTATGACATCACACATTGACCTTATGACATCACACATTGACATTATGACATCACACATTGACATTATGACATCACACATTGACATTTTGACATCACACACTGACCTTATGACATCACACATTGACCTTATGACATCACACATTGACCTTTGTTACCGTTCCTTTGAGCTGTTTGAAGTCAGTTTGGGATCCATAATCACTTCCTGTTTCTGGGCTTAACTTCATGTCCTAACCTTCCATCTACAGGAAGTGCCTTACTGTACTTCAAAATAAAAGCACACAATGAGAAATGTACTCTCAGCTTTAGACAGCACAAACATTCAAAATAAAAGACTAACAAAACTTTTTTTGATGTTGTTAATGTTGATTAACTTGATTGACAGCCTTATAAAAATGCAAACATAAAGAAAGTGATGATATTTAATTTAAAATACTTTATTAAAACAGTCTGACATAAGTTACTAATAAACATGTAGACTTTTATTTTGTCATTAGACCTTTTTATCCATCAGTGATCCAGTGATGACAGTCCTGTTCTTCTTCAGCTGTCTCAGCATTCCTTTCTTTTTGCTCATGATCACATTTGTGAACACATGGCATAACTTCAGAATCATTCAGAGTCAAACACACATCAGAGGACGAGGACAGATCTGCAGCAGTGATTGCAGGAATGTTGCATCACGCTAAAGTTAGTCCGGAGAGAAGACGAGCAGCTGTTTGCCCCGCTGGACGGCGACATCATGAACACAATCTGTGTCACATGATCCCACTTTGTATTCTGGGAGTCACTGACTGCCTCTCTGTTTATCTACTGTCTGAGCAACTAGTGCACATATCAAAACCTCATGGCTCTCCCTTTTATAAAATATTACAAGTGGACAGAGATTACATCAGATATGCATTTCTCTCCTCTTCTTCTATTGGACACGTATGGTGCCACGGGCGGTGGCATTTGTCGACATACCCTTACTCATTTCTTGTTCTTTACATTCTGAGTCGTCTCTGCTTTAAAGCTAGCAGATATTTAGCATCCTGGGAAATGTCTGTGGTTTAATCTCTTCTTTATTCACTCATGCTAACCCCACATTTGCATAATTGTTTCTTATAGAGCTTCATGAAGCTGAGGAACAAGCCAGTGGGTTGGCAAATTGAAACAGGAGCATATCGGTGATTGATGATGTAACATGCAGCAGGGCTCTGGTTTTTATCACCTAGCAGCTCTGTCCTGGCTGTCCTCTCCCGGTGAGAGATGCCTACCATACGCTGAAATAAACACCAACTCAGACACTCTCTCAGACTCTAACGGCACTTTAGGACTTTGAGATTAAACAAAGACTCTGTATCTTCCTGTTGAAAGTTTTTTCCATCATGCTCCTTAAATTAACGAGCAGAGAACAAAAGACCAGAAACAGAAGCTGCTCTTGTTTGCAAAATGGTTTGTGCTACAATTTAGTTAAATTGTTCAGAGAACTGGGTGGGCGTCTGTGGGACTGACCTTGTACCTTGGTACAGATCCTTTCTTCATGACAGGAAGTACTTAGTACTTAATCTATAAATGTGTCAGAGCTAAAGGCTTTGGCGAGGGGTTCCACAGGGGTCGATTTTGGGACCCTTACTGTTCTAGCTCTATATGCTTTTAATGTGTCAAATCATACGAGATAATGAAGTAGACTACCATACTTATGCAGATGATACACAGATATACATCTCATAAACACCAGGAGGTAATGATGTGTAACTGTAGCAAATCAATTAATGCTGTTCTTAAATATAGAGTCAGCAGCTTCTTCCTTCAAAATAAAAGACAGACTTCTCCTAAAGTGAAGCTGCTCCATTGTCCCTTCTGGGCCTCCGTACATGTGAGGTGGTGACTGTGTCTGCAGAGACTCTGTCCTCTCACTGGATTTTACTGTTCTGATTTGTTCTGGTTGACTCGGGACGTTTGTGGGCGGAGCTGGTGTGTTTCCTCTCAGCCAATGACAGCGCAGCAGCTGAGTTTAGGAGTGAATATGACGGACGTGGACGTAGCAGCAAAGAAGAGAAAATATAATGAGAGTGAGGAGAAACACCAAGTGGATAAAGCTCGTTCTAAAACGAGGGTGAACCTTGTGTTGTCTTTTTCCCGTGGACGTGGAGTTGGTCTACTTCCTGTTGGACATGAAGGTGACAAACACTGGCCATTAGCTTGTGCTAGCATGCGTGCAGTGTAGCTACAAGCAGTAAACATACACACTGTGTCCTGCAGGGGGCGATGAACCCAGGAGGAAGGGCCCAGTTTGAATGTTGTGTTCATTAACATTTTTACTGACGCCGCCTTTAAACAGTCTTCAATTTGACATGACAAGACCAGCAGATGAATCAGTGTCTCTTGTCTCGTCTGTTTTCTGCTCGCCTCTCGTCTACACTCCAAGTCATTTTCTCAACCTCGTAACCTTCAGTTTCCTCTGTTCATGTGTACGCCTCTGTTCTTCACACACTGACATCGAACAAGAGAAGACAGAAACAGATGCTGGTGAAAAAAGGAGTATTGCGATATATATTTTTGTGTAATTGATTTAAATCTTCCATATTTGTATTGATTTTTTTTATTACATTTTGAGGTCTCGTTACATCTCTAACTCAGACAGAAGTTGAGAATCTGAACGCTGATCTTATCGACAGTGACTCCTCCACATCCTCAGTCTCTTCCTCGTCCACTGTGGGCATAAAGTGGGCTCTCATCGTGGTTGTTCCATTTCCTATCCTTTTACCGCTCTGAGGTTGGCGTGCATCTTAAACTGTGGTCGTATTAACGCTGAGTGCTGCTGGATCCATGACGTTCTTTTCTTATACTCCTTTAAAAGCAGCTGAATAAAATGTCTCCGATCTGAATCAGTGACTGTACGTTGAATAAATAATCATTGTCTGATTTTCTGCGTTGCTTTGAGTCATCGGAGAAGCATGACCTCCTTTTCTGACATCACTTTTTATCTCGCTGGTTTATATTTGGTGCTTTAGCCGTAACAGGATCTCTGAGTGTTTCCCAGATGTCATTTGTAGACTTCCCTGTCTTACAGCAGTTTGGTATCATTTTCCACATTAATGATTACAGCTGCTCACAAAGTGGGGCTGGACTTCCCAGATATGGATCACAGCGCAGTCCGGTTCAGTTGGTGCTTATTGAGGTGTCCTCCACATCAAGTCTTCACAGGACGCAGTTTGTCTTCTGGGTTATTTATAAAAAAAGATAGAACAATAAAGTGCACAAAGGCAGTGTGAACCATTAGTAGTTTGTATTTAAAAACCTGTTTGAGATCCGCCAGCCCGTATACGAGTTTCGTGGCGCTCATGGCGTGTTCTTAACATGCATGATTGTGCACACAGCAGCTGAGTAGGTGTTACTCGCAACCTCGTTTGAAAGCTTTGCTCATGGTGATCACGACCATGTAAACCACTTCAAGGTCCAACCAACACAGCAGCCACAATCTACACATCTGTCAGACCGCCGACAAACACAGAACTCTAAATGACTGAATGCTGACTCAGCGTCTGAAGTTTCACTTTTCTGAGCACAAAACGGTCGTGCTGCTTCGCTGAGTCGATCCAATTCATAAAAAATGTTACCTTGAGAAGTTTTACAAAGAGCTGGTAAAAGACCTTACTCATTGTTATGTTACAAAGCTCAACGTTAATCCATCATGAGCACTTTGTTTCAACACATTAGCAAAGAAAAAAGTTCCTTTTAAGAGAACGAGACTAGTGATGAACAGCAATCTGCTGAAACTGAGCCGGCTTGAAAGATGAGATAGGAGGAGATGCAGGAAGAAGGACAGTGACAAACGTGGGGGGGGGGGTCTATAGCAGCAGGCAGTCCTCACCAACGATAGCTCAGCAGCTCCCAGGAAATGATATGGTTAGTCCCCTCGATTGGCAATGACAAACTCTGTTAGTTCAGGTTGTTCAGGTTTTGAAGCTTTGGAAGACAGTCCAGGAAATTCACTGCACACTAAACAATCAATGATGCACTGGCAGATTTCTCCTGCAGATTTCAAACAGGTCAATGTGTGTAAGACGATGTGTTTCTGCAGCGTTGCTCTTAGAGAAGCTTCTCGTTGGACTGTAACAGAGCATGCTGACTGCATTGTGTTTTAACACGTGTGTGTTTTTCTCCCAACAGATACGGATTACATCAGCGAGGAGGAGAAACAGAAGGTGGAGCTGATGTTGGCGTTTCTCACTGAAGAGTCCAAACAGGCTGCAGCCAGCACAGCTGTAAGTACCTCTGAGTGTCCCTGAAAACATCTGCACAGCTTCCTGCTGTCAGCTGTCACAGAGCAGCCTCAGTGTTTCAGGTTTATCCTCACAGATCTCCTTTAAAGTCAGTCAGCCGTCTGTAGATAAACCCGTCATTATCTTTAAGCACTACACAAAGAGTGTTTGTTAAAGCTCAGGCAGACAGAAGTGAATATTTTAGAAGCTAAAAGTAGGAACAGTTTGAAGTCAGCATGCGGACACGAAAACAACAGATATCAAAAACATCACAAAGAGGAAACAGGCTGTCCACATGTTCAATACCTGGACGTGTTCTGGTTCCACATTTTTGGGAGGAGAGGAGTGAAGCCATCAGGAGCGGCACCAATACGCTGCCAACATCTCAAACATTGCAGAAGTTTTTGTGCACTTTAGACGCTTTGCAGGAGGTCAGTTTTTGTTGCCGTGGAATCGAAAAGAGATCTCGATTTAGTTTGAGATTTACTAGTATCGTATCAAAGCTTCTGGTGTCATGAGTCATACAAACACAGAACCAGGAACCATGTGGACAAACAGACAAACAGAAGAGGTCTGACGTAGTTCAGTTTAAATCTGAGGCTTGTTGCCGATGAAGTCGTCGGTTCAGACATCCGGATCCTGCTGCCCTTGAGGCTGAACCTGGAGAAATACATTTCCTCTTCTCTTCATCTCTGCAGAGGAAACCCGATCTCTTACTCTCCACCACAGAGCTAAAGGATTTATTATTGATGAGGGAGGAGGGGGAGGAGGGTGGAGGAAAAGGAGGGGGAGGGGGGGTGGAGGAAGAAGAGGGGGGGAGAGGGAGGAGGGTTAGGAGGAAGAGGGGGAGGAGGGGGGAGGAGAAAGAGGAGGAGGAGAGGAGGAGAGGATGGAGGAGGAGGAGGAGGAGAGAGAGGAGGAGGAGGAAGGAGAGAAGGGTGGAGGAGGAGGATGAGAGAAGGATGGAGGAGGAGAGAGAGAAGGATGGAGGAGGAGGAGAGAGAGAAGGATGGAGGAGGAGAGAGAGAGAAGGATGGAGGAGGAGAAGCGAGAGAAGGATGGAGGAGGAGGAGAGAGAGAAGGATGGAGGAGGAGAGAGAAGGATGGAGGAGGAGGAGAGAGAGAAGGATGGAGGAGGAGGAGAGAGAGAGAAGGATGGAGGAGGAGAAGCGAGAGAAGGATGGAGGAGGAGGAGAGAGAGAAGGATGGAGGAGGAGGAGAGAGAGAAGGATGGAGGAGGAGAGAGAGAAGGATGGAGGAGGAGGAGAGAGAGAAGGATGGAGGAGGAGGAGAGAGAGAAGGAGTATTTTAAATCACTTTTCTTTTTGCCGCCATGCTTCAGGACGCAGCTCTCATACTGTTCGCAGAGCTTCTGTAATATTTCTGTACATGTTGAGCTTTAATGTGACGGAGGAGGGCGAGGCTGCAGGGGTGAAGAATGTGGAGCGATGAAAAGCAGCGTAGATATAAAACAGATAGATGGTTGGAGTTAAAGTGCAGAGAGTGCTCAGCCCGAGGTGTGTTTCCACAAAGACACTAATGGCTCTCTGCAGGGAGGAGGGGTCTCTGCTCGCTCTGGGCTTCAAGTAGGAAATCACATTGTGTCTAATGAAAGGTTTCTGCTACATGATGGAAAGTGTTCTTCAGTCCAATCACAGACCAGGACGGCTCAGTGGCTCTGAGGCTGACGTGTTTGTATCAAACTTTTCCTTCCTGCTGTTTCGTTTGTGTTTTTAATTCATTGAGAACTGAGCGTCACAACTTTCTTTTGTTCACCATTGTGGATAAATCAATCTCAGAAAGTCCTGAAAGTCCACATATTCTTTAAATCCTCTTCCCCATGTTCCTCTAACTCTAACATGTGTCTCTAGTCCGTCTACAAACCCCCCAATGATGAGAAAAGTCCATCCTCTCCGTCTTCTGCCTGCTCCACTTTTCAGAAAATGTGTGCTCAAACAGGCCGTTTGGAGATTTTCCCTTCATGACATCACAAAGGGCAGTAGCCCCTCCCCCAGGTGGGTGACACTCCCACAGCTAGGTGTTTGTTCTGCCCTCTGAGTCTGCCTTCTCACCGTAAACAATAGGACATGAAGCAAGAAAGCACCGAGTACACCAAGCCCTTCCAGAGAGGGGGCGTGGTCAGACACAGCTCATTTACATATTTAAAGGTACAGACACAGAAACAGCCTGTTCTGAGCAGGGCTGAAATAGAGGGGTTTATAGACATGATCAAATACAGGATCAGAGTGGATTTAGAACAAGAAACTTCACACACATGTTTTGAGGAACTCTGAGACTTATTTAAACTGAAGAAGAGGAGGAGGAGATGTCACCTTTAACGTGTTGGCGTGAAACATGTTTCTTACCCAGAACAACCTTCACACTTTATGTTTTATGCAACTCAAACTTTGGCTGTGACTGTTAAACATTTATCAGGGGAAAAGGATTGTTTTATTTTTCATGATTGTCCTTTTATCACGGAGGACGAGGATCCATGAGGAGTCTTCTTTCTGCAGATTTTGTATAAATTCAGTTTCTATTCAGCGGTGGTGAGCTTACACAGGTCAAAGGTCAACATTTCAATCATGGATGTGGATATAACGTCTGCTGGAAGAATTGTAGAGTGAGTAGTAATAACTGGGTCAGTTTGTGAGGATTTGAGAGGTGGAGCGACTTCTGTCTTTGACTGAGTTTACTGATTTCATGTGTACTGCATCAGGATACAAACTAAAGTCCAGTTCTTCATCTTTGACGTTCAGGTGACATCCTGTGTAAAAAACAGAGAAGCATCGTTTATGATAGAGAAGAAGAAGAAGAACTCTGAGCTGGTCGTGTTCAGCTGCCCGTTGTCTTTAAATCATTGGACTGTTTGAAAAGATGTCAGCTCGGTGCCGCTGGCTGATCGCTCTTTTCTCCCAATGTTTCCACTGACGAGTAACACCTTCACACACACACACACACACACACACACACGCTCTGCAGGTTCCCTCATTTATATTCACAGCGAGCGCGGCGTCTTCCTCTTGGCTTATGTTTGCGTCAGAGACGGAGCTCCACGCCGCACAGCTCCAAGGATTTCCTTTTATGAAGGGGAAGGGGCGGGGTCAGACAAACTGGATGACAGACCTGTGTGTGTGTGTGTGTGTGTGTGTGTGTGTGTGTGTGTGTGTGTGTGTTGTGTGTGTGTGTGTGTGTGTGTGTGTGTTGTGTGTGTGTGTGTGTGTGTGTGTGTTGTGTGTGTGTGT